AACCACAGTTAATTTCATAAAAAAACAAAACCAAACCATAAAACATACAATACACTCTGAAATGATCTCTTAAGTTAAGATTTATTTTTAAATGTATTTGATGCAATTTGTAATGGAGGAACGCGCTCTATTAAAAGGCTTTTAGAGACTGCTAATACTAACGCGCTTTTTTTCTCAAACAAATATGTATGCCTGTCGTTTTTCTGTTTATTTTTTAAAACATCCTAGGCACAAATTTTATCATTCCTTTTTGGAAAATACCTACTGGCAGATACTGTCCTGCCATTACCACGAAAACAATGCTTTCCAGTAACAGGTATGAGCATCAATATAGTGCATCTCACTGGGGTGTAGGTGGCCCGAGATACTAAAAATAAACAACAAGCACGTTTGATCCTTCTACCGACCCACTCTTAGATCTACGTAGAAGGCCCACTTATTTATTTATTTTAGAAAATACCCAGATCCACAGGGAGACAGAAAAAGCCAATTATGAATAGGCTATGTCTGTGTATTTCTACCACAAAAACACAGCTCTGACCTGTTACCTAACAAGACCCCTTATCCTTAGGATGTATGTCATCAGAATCTCTAAGATACGAAATAACAGACACAGTGTGTCACAATCTTTTCAAAGTGTTTTTAGCAGGAAAAAAAATACTATAGGAATAAAACATATGCCATTATTTTGCTTCTGAATTTTTCAAGTACACATGAAAATATTTACACATTAGACTATTTAAAAAGTGCTGGTTTTGAGCACAGGAGTAATTATCTATGATATAAGTGTGCAAATGTAATACCCAATAAGATATAAAACAACTCCTACTTTACAAATAAATAGACATCTGAATTATAACATTAAAATGTGTGTCTACACCGAAAAAGAAATACAGTATTAAAAGACTTTGGGACATACCAGTGATTTATTATGCTTTTCTTTCTTTTTTTTTTGATCAAAAATACTTTAAATATTTGAGTATGGTTAAAGGCTCCACAGACAATGTTTTGGGAGTATTATGCTTTTCTTTCTGGCCATGTATATATTATTCCTGGATAAAGTTTCACTAAACAGATATTTTCTCAGAGAAATGACATCACTGGTGGTTAAGTATTCAACTAAAGACTTGGCATCAGAGACAACTACCAGTATCATACCAACAGACATGCCGTGCATTTGGTAAAAGAGGCAATAAACATATTGATTAGAGAAAAAAAATCAGCGGACTAAAAATCGTACTGAGATACAGCATTTGAAAGTACAACTAGTACCTGACTGATTTAAAACTAGTATACTAAGTGTAATGAACATTACATACTGCGTGAAAAATGTGTTTTGCTTGCCTTGTTAGAAGTTAGGTGAGTTCTGGAAGGAATTATTGGAATGGTTCCTCTGAAAGTGTGAAAAATTAGGTGCTGGAGTGTGGGATACTCAAAAAGTCCCTGTGGCAAGTAGAGGCATCCAAGCCACTCCACTGCCCTCTAAGTGACAGATTTGAGCACGACAGTAGTTAAAAGTTCTCAGTAAGGATTCCCAGTCTGAGAGTTTGGGAAAAGGGATCTCGTGGATTCAATGGCACAACAGACTCATTTTATGGTAGATATCTGATAATGATTAGTGGCCAATCAGGTTGATTTGTGAACCTCTGCTCTCATCAACGATTCTCTCTGACACCTACAGCTACCCTGGTTCATTCTTCAGAGCACCGGAAAATGCTGCATGAATCAAAGTGTGTGCCTAAGGTTATTGGAAGAAGAGCAAAGGATGAAGGAAATAGAGAAACAAACAAAACTTAATCACAAATATGGACTATTTAGAGTAACAGGAGACCAGAAAGGATGGGCGTGGTACTTCCAAATTATTAGTAAGTCTTTGTCTTAGTGAACAGCTTTCAAGACACTCGCAAACCTTCCCCTTTAGAGTAACACCTCTGTTTACAAAATCCGATTTCCAAAACTGATAAATTAGGTGGTGATAATTTGCTTTGAAAACTTCCCATGGGTTTCTAATAAATGTGCATTAAATGATAATTTAAGTACCAAAGTTTGATTTTTCTTTGTCCTAATAGATTGTCTAATCAAATTTATCCACTGGAGGGATTTAGTTTTTTTTCTGGCAGTACTCTTGAGAGGTTCTAATTCAGCTTTTTTCTTTGAACACTCCCAGGAAAGGGAAGCCTGGTCTCAGAGGCAAAGCTATTCAAACGCAGACTGTCCGGGGATGGGTCAGATTTTCCTCACGTGGGATCGAAATCTGCTTCCCTGTAACTGACCCCCTTCTGCTTCTATTTTTGTCCCATCCAGCCATCCAGGAGCAAGTCTAACCCCACACAGTTTCTGAAACATCAGAGAACAGCTATCACGTTCCTCCTAGGTCCTATTTTTCCTAGTAAACATCTCCAGGCTAACTATGTATAATTCAGTGGGAAGTACATGGTCCCTGGAGGCCAAGTTCAGTAGATTCCTGGCTGTATATTATTAGAAAACCTCTCCAAACCTCATCTAAGTCCCCTTCTCTGTGAAAGGGAACATCCCAGCCTTACTAGGGTGTTTTGGAGGAGAGATGGGTTCACACAGCGGACGCCCACTCCAGTGAAGAAACTCAAGAATGCTAATAGTTCTTTCCCTCCCCAGCTTATTCCTGTTTGTCCTTCTGAAAATGAAGAGCTCAGAAGGCAGTGAGGCACTCCTGATACCATCTGATGGGCTCAGAGTTCCAGAGATTGTGCTCCTAAAAATATCTCCTTAAGGCTTCAAGAACTTCAAGTTCCCACAGAATTGTACTCAGAAGGCCACACATTTTATTTATATGAAAATAAAGCAAGTCTCTCTTTCCTATCTTGTATCATGATTTCTTTCTGAATTTTCAATGAAATAATATACCTTGAGCCGTTTACATTCCACCTTGCTAGTTTTGGCCGATCCTTAGAGTCCATCAAGGAGGCCTTTTCAGAAACGGAATTATTTTATCTAATCTATGAATCCGTTTTCCCTCCTGGGTTTGTTTAATCTACACCTTTCTGTCATGCAGAAGCTGGAGAAGCCCACGCATTTTGTGAGATGTATGTTCCATAGAACAGACCATACCAGGCTTATAAGCAGCACAACTGCCTGACCTGAGTTTTCCCTCCTTCTCACCACCTGTGCTTCCGTAACTGATGGGGCTGCAGAGAAAGGTCCTCACGTCACCGGCAGTGCAACAGGTAAAACCAGATGACTTATGGGCTGGTCCAAAGTAGAAGGGAAGACGTAAGGTTCCCACCCAGTAAAAGGAGAAAATAAAGATTAGTTATACTGGGGCTTCATCACTAAAAACTGACCAAATACAGCCCTGGGGGGGTCCCAGTGCCACCAGCTCTGTCATCTTGGATAAAATGTACTGTGTAATGTAGTAAGGAACATAGGCTTTGGAGCCAGACTTCCTGGGTTCAATGCTGATATCATTCGGATTATGCTGGTTAGTTACTTAGTTTCTCTGTGCATGGGTTTCCTATTTGGTAAAATGATAGTTATTACTTTTTTTTTTTTTTTTTTTGTGGTACACGGGCCTCTCACCGCTGTGGCCTCCCCCATTGCGGAGCACAGGCTCCGGACGCACAGGCCCAGCCGCTCTGTGGCATGTGGGATCCTCCCGGACCGGGGCACGAACCCGTGTCCCCTGCATCGGCAGGCGGACTCTCAACCACTGCGCCACCAGGGAAGCCCAGTAGTTATTACTTTTTGCTTTGATACCAAAACAAGATCCAAACCTCAATGGAAAGGAAGGAAGAAAGGAAGAGAGAGGAAAATAAAAGAGGGGAGGTAGGAGCCAGGGAGGGGGATCACAGGAAGGTGAAGGTCTAGTCTGAGTCTTGCTTTTTAAATTGTGCACTCCAACCGACAACTCAAATAGGTTTTACTTCCCTCTACGTTGAGAAGTCAAGCCAGATGAAATAAGAATTCTGCTTGGTGGCCAACAGACAGAGTCAATGCCCTCTGGGTCTTTTCCTTTCCAAAGTGGAGAATGACTGCTATATTTAGAACAGATAACCAACAAGGACCTACTGTAGAGCACAGGGAACTCTGCTCAATATTCTCTAATAACCGAAATGGGAAAAGAATTTGAAGAAGAATAGATACAGGCATATGTATAATTGAATCACTCTGCTGTACACCTGAAACTAACACAACATTGTTAATCAAAAATGCTCCAATATAAATTAAAAATTAAAAAAAAGAATGAATTTAAAGTCATCAAATGACCAACTTACAGGCAGTAGAAAGTTATGTGAAGAATTCTTAAAGGATATAATCTTGTCTTAAGTGAAAATTCGCCCATGTTCTGATGACACTGCTCTTATACTTTCTTCAGTCATTTATGTGTGGCTTTTCATTAATCCATCATTTTTATTAATGGACTATTATAAATTCTTCTTTACTGCATTTTCCTGACATGATTTCTCAGTCTCTGTGGGTCACACTCTCCACTCCAGTGCGTGTGGAATTCGCATGGGCAGCTGAGCCCTGGAGGCATCAAACTCAAAGCTCGCAGCTGGAGCCGGAAGCCTGGCCGTGGTGGGCTCCCTCACCCCCAGGTCAGGTCTGGTTCCCCTGGCTCTAGGGCTGGCACCAGCCCACCCTCTGCCCCTACTTCCACCCATAACATGCTGTCTTATGCTACACTCAAACATGTACCATAGAAAGGCGACATGAGGAAGGATGAAAAAAAGCAACGAAGTATGTGTAAAGGGCTGGGGTGAGGGAATAAACAATTTTTCACATTCTGCTTCCATTTACATACAGTCAGCCCTGGGAAGTTGCCTATGCTAAGAGAACAGACATGAATTCCTAGGTATGTACACTGAAGAATATGTATATATATATATATATATATATATATATATATATATATATATACACACACACACACATATATATATATATATATATATATATATATATATATATATATATATGCAACAAAACACATTGCTAGAAACGGATGAATACTTCATACTGACCTTGGGGGGTTTAAACGGATAGTCTGGTGAAAAGGTAATGTCAAGAAAGAACACCCCTCCTTCATAGACAGATCCTGGGGGTCCCAATATAGTTGACCTCCATTCATAAATGTTGTCTCCTTTGGGTCCAGCACTGAAATAAGACATACAAATAAAATGTGCTTAGAGATCATATAAAGCTTGGAATTTAAAAAATATCTATTTACGGTAACAATAAATTGAGCCATTCCATAAAAACACACCGAAGTTAATAGATTAATTCTACATAAGGAGTCACTTGTCAACATCATCAGTATTCTATAAATGGAATATGTTGGTATTACTAAATAAAACAGAACCAAGAAGATTCTGTTTTGCCATTCATAACCCTAAACTTATGAAACTAAAGATTCCAAGGACCGTAGACCAGAGGCAGGAGCACAAATGTTTGATAAAGCATAAAATTATTTCTGAGATCCTGAAAAGGGTGATATAGTGTCAAAAAGATAAATTTTCAAAGCTACAAGGGACACTAGAGAAAAAAAAATACTCTAATCCTTTGTTAACTAAGAACACAAAAGAGGTTCATGGAGATCAGTAGATGTTCATCATTGATAAGACTCAGCTCAAGTATCACTCCCATCTGAATCTTCTTTTCTCTCTCTACCCAAAGATTCCTGGCCAACGTCCACACCCTCCAACTAGTGTGGTCTATAGAAGATAAGATGCATCCTTTTGTCTTATACCTGTGTTGTGTAACTGTTTGCTTTTCCCATCCCTCCCTGGAAGCTCTCTGAGGAACAGATTTTGCCTTGTCCTCAGTGCCTAGTAAGTAAATGTTTATTGGATGATGATGCTGGGTTAACAGTGAAGCAAGGGAAGCCACATGGCTACTAGCAGCAAACCTACGTCCCCCAGTTGCAGAGAAACTCACTGAGGAAAATAAGGCCCACACAAGTCAACTTAACTGTGTTAATTCTCCCAGGGTAACAGAAGGCAAAGTGAGATTATAGTTTAGCTCCAGTGTTCCTCTTGCCCCATCAAGCTAATATGTACATCTAACAGCCAGAAACTCCCCTCACACCCTGTAGCAAAGTGGGAAACCCTGTTAAAGTGCTTGAGAAGATTTTATTGCCAACAAAGATTTCTCTTCTTTCTTATTTTGAAATTAGTTCATATCCACAGAAAAATTCATTGTTGAGCCGTATATCAAAAAAGCATGCATCTTATCTGTGACAAAGGAGGAAAAATATACAATAGGGAAAAGACAGCCTCTTCAATAAATGGTGCTGGGAAAACTGGACAGCTACATGCAAAACAATCAAACTGGACTACTTTCTCACACCATATACATGATTAAACTCACAGTGGATTAAAGACTTAAATGTAAGATCTAAACCCATAAAAATCCTAGAAGAAAACAAAGGCAGTACACTCTTTGACATCTAAGATTGACATCTTAGCAATATTTTTTTGTATATGTCTCCTCAGGCTAGGGAAACAAAAGCAAAAATGAACAAATGGGACTACATCGAACTAAAAAGCCTTTGCACAGTGAAGGAAACTATCATCAAAATGAAAAGGCAGCCTACTGAATGGGAGAAGATATTTGTAAATGATACACTCAATAAGGGGTTAATACCCAAGGTATACAAAGAACCCATACAACTCAACATCAGAAAACATACAACCTATTAAAAAATGGGCAGTGGACCTGAATAGACATTTCTCCAAAGAAGACATACAGATGGCCAACAAGCACATGAGAAGACGCTCAACATCACTAATCATGAAATGCAAATCAAAACCACAATGAGATATCACCTCACACCTGTCAGAATGGCTATCATCAAAAAGGCAACAATTAACAAGTGTTGACAAGGATGTGAACAAAAGGGGAAGCCTTGTGTGCTGTTGCTGAGAATGTAAATTGGTATAGCCACTATGGAAAACAGTATGGCGATTCCTCAAAAAAGTAAAAACAGAACTACCATACAATCCAGTAATTCCACTTCTGGGTATTTATCTGAAGAAATTAAAACAGTAATTTGAAAAGTAACTGAAAAGATATATGCATCCCAGTGTTCACTGCAGCATTAGTTACACTAGCCAAAATACAAAAAAAGCAACCTAAGTGCCATCGATAGATGAATGGATGAAGAAGATGTGGTACATATATACACACACAATGGAATATTACTGAGCTATAAAAAGTATGACATCTTGCCATTTGGGACAACATGGATGGACCTTGAGGGTATTATGCTAAGTGAAATAAGTCAGACAGAGAAAGATAAATACCACATCATTTCACTTACATGTGGAATCTAAAAAACAAAACAAAAGAATACATGTAAGAAAACAGAACAGACTCAGGTACAGAGAACAAACGGGTGGCTGCCAGAGGGGAGGAGAGGTTGGCAGATGAGAGAAACAGGTGACGGAGATTAAGAGGTACAAACTTGCAGTCACAAAATAAATGAGTCACAGGTATGAAGTATACAGTCAATAATTATGGAACATTTTTGTATGGTGACACCAAAAAACCCCCCCAAAAACCCAAAATCCAAAAAAGCATTCATCTTAACCAAGTTCGGATTATTCTGGGAATGCAAGGATAGTTTAATAATAGAAAATTATTATTGTAATTTACCTTATAACACATTAAAGTAGAAGAAAATGATAATCTCTAAGAGGTGCAGAAAAAGCACTCCATAGGTGCTTTTTTATTAAAAATGATAGCTATTTAAGATAAAAACTCCTAGCAAAATTAGAATAGTAAGAAACATCTTTAACCTGATAAAAAGCATATACCAAAAACCTCATAGCAACTATATATTCAATGGTAAAATATTAAAGCACACCCTTTAAAAACTGAGGAACATGACAAGGATGCCCACTATATCCATTTCTAATCATTACTGTATTAGAGCTCATGTTCATCAAGGTATGAAAGGACACAGGAAAAAACCCAAAAGATTTATGGATTGGGATGGAAGAAATAAAGCTGTTGGCATTTGCAGTATTTATGTACACAGAAAAAACCTCCCCAAATCGATACACAATTTATTAAATTTAATAAAAGTTTAGCAAAGTAGCTGGATGTAAGATCAACAGGCAAAATCAACTGCATTCAACACACCAGCAAAATTAGAAAATGTATTTTAGGGCTTCCCTGGTGGCGCAGTGGTTGAGAGTCTGCCTGCTGATGCAGGGGACACGGGTTCGTGCCCCGGTCCAGGAGGATCCCACATGCCGCGGAGCGCCTGGGCCCGTGAGCCATGGCTGCTGAGCCTGCGCGACCGGAGTCTGTGCTCCGCAACAGGAGAGGACACAGCAGTGAGAGGCCCGCGTACAAAAAAAAAAAAAAAAATTATTTTAAGATACCTTTTATAAATAGTATTAAAAATATAAGAAACTTATGAATAAATTTCATAAAAATATGTAAGATTTTTATGGAGAAAATTATAAAACATATTGAAATACACTCAAGAAAATTAAATATCAATAGATGAAGACACCACGTTTATTGGTAGGAAGACCCAGGATCCTGGGTATGTCAATTTCTCCCTGATCCAATGCAATTCTAATCCACAGTCCAACAGTTTTTTAAAAAACGAAACTTGACACGTTGATTCTAGAATGTGTTTGGGAGCTCCAAGAAGCTCCTGAAACTTTTCTACACACATATGAAAATCTGATATATGTCAGAACTGATGGGGCTAAGAAAACAGTTCTGTCTTTGGGCAACAGAGAAATTTGATTTCTACCTCAATAAATATGTAAGACTCTGTTGCAGATGGATTAAACACTTAAGTGCAAAGATCAAAAGTTTTGGAGTTTGACTAAAGAGGGTGACAAGGCAAGCCATAAACTGAGAAAAGATATTTGGATCATATAAAACTGACAAAATTCTAGTGTCCATAATATACAAATTCCTATCAATCAATAAGGAAAAGACTAACGATCCATTAGAAGGGAAAAAGGAGGAAACACGAATGGCCATCATCATATGAAAAATGCTCAATCTCATTAAAATAAGAGAAAGGAAACAAAATTACAATTTAATATTATTTCACAAAATATATAGGCAAAAATAAATGCCTGACAAAACCTAGTGTTGATGAAGATGTGGAAAAACAAGAACTATCCATTGTTGATAAGAGTGCCAATCACTCTGAATGAGGACATGGACTTCCCTAGTTCAGTTGGATATAGACAGTTCTATATTACAACACAGGAATTTCACTCCTAGGTACACACCCCAGAAAAACTTTTACCCATGCACCAGAAGACATGTACAAGAATGTTCATGGATGCACTATTTGTAATAGCAACATTAGAAACAACACAGATGTTCACTGACAGAAAAATGGATACATTCACCCAAAGGAATACTACACAGCAGTGAAAATATATAGAGTAACATTGATTAATCTTAGAAATAGCATATTGGATAAAAAAGCAAGTCTAAAAGGAATATATACGGTATGACACTATTTCTACAAAGTTTAAAAGCAAACAAGAAAATAAATTATGGAGGGACATATACAAAAAGTTCCAGAGAGGAGTCTCCTGGGTAGAATCAGAGGGTGGAGAAGTAGCACACAGGAGCTTCAATGGTTCTGGGGATGTTCTACTTCTCAGGATGTGTGGTGGATTCAGGAGTTATTTGTTTTATTACTAGGTTTCATAACTTACTTAGGATATCTTAGATATCTTCTTAGATCTGTATCACATTTTCATATTAAGATAAACTATGCCAACAGCAAGTTGTAGCACAGGTACACTGTGATCCTACTATAGAAACTAGAAACATATTAATAAAACAACATTTTATATCATTTATGGATACAAATCTATGTCAATGTCTTTCAGGAAATGAACTGGAAAAATACACCCAAATTCAAGATGGTAGCTGTGCAAGGAACAGGGGAGAATTGGAGGGGGTGAGGGGAGGAAATCTGAACATAGAGAATGAAGGAGAGTTCAATTTTATTTCTACAGTTTGATTTCTCTTATTTAAAATTAGATGTAGTAAAATAAAATAAAAGAAAATCACAGCCAAGTTTATGGCCAAGTACTGAAACATGGTGCAAGGGACTGGGGTGCAGCCTCCCTGCCCCATCTGACCACTGATCTCCCTCTCCTGAA